TCTTTTTTTTCCCCTTTAATACATTTTATTGATTTCAGAGAGAGGAAGGGAGAGAGAGAAACATCAATGATGACAAAGTCATTAATCAGCTGCCTCCTGCAAGCCCCTTGCTGGGCATGTGCCCTGACCGAGAATTGAGCCGAGATCTCCTGGATCATAGGTGAATGCTCAACCGCTGAACCATGCCAGCTGGGCTGATTTTCTTTTTAAAAGGCCAAGGTAGCTCTCTTAGCAGCCCACTCGATTCTCCCTTTCAAGTGTACTTTCACTTTGCTTGCTAAATAAACTTCCCCCTGTGTTAAGAGTTCTTGGCACTGAATTCTTTCTTAGCTGAACTCAAGAGCCAAGGTTGCTGAACTGAGAGTCAACATCGTTGATAACATAAGGGAAGTTGGATGTAAAGAACAAGTTGGAACTCACAAGTTAGAGGTGGAGCTGAAATTCACCTGTTTTCCCTGCCTCTGACCTTGGTAATATTGGTGTCCAGTAGAAGACCCATCCTTGCAGAGTTAAACACACAACTGGCCCAAGAGTTGGGAAGGTTAGAGGAGGATCCAGGGAAAGGTGCAGCAGTTGAAAGGCTGGCCCTGCCACCCACCAAGGAGGGTAAGATGGCAGGTTCCACTCTCAAAATCTCACACAAGAATCTTTTGAAGCCCCTTCCCCAACCAGAAACACAGAGGAGCAGGAATTCTGTGCAATGTCCTTCAGTTTGGCCAAGCTGCCACAGCATGAAGCCACCACCTCTGGTTCATTTAGAGCACCGCCTGTGGCCTGTCTCTCGGGGTGCCCTGACAAGAGGAAGAGTTCAGGAAGCTGTAGTGATTCTGAATTTGGTTTCTTCTTCCTTGTACAGGAGTAAGCCCTACCCTTTTTTTTTTTCCTGTCTCTCCCACCCACATACACCAAACCACTTGACTCAACTAATCTTTAATTTACAAACCTTTTTTTTCTGTTGTAGGTCAGAAACTTTCAAAGTCAACATTATTAAGATAAAGATCTTAAACTTGTTCCATTTTTCCAGGATAAAACTTGGTTTATTTTTTCATAGTGTTCAAAATATGTTAGCAGGACACATTGCTGTTTAATAAATCCCAAGTGATTAAAAAAGAGAACTTCTTTTTTGTTGTTAAAATTATTTATTTATTTAAATCCTCACCTGAGGATATTTTTTCCATTACTTTTCAGAGAGAGTGGAAGGGGGAGAGAGAGAAACATCGATGTGAGCCACATTGATTGGTTGCCTCCTGCATGCACCCCAGCCAGGGCCAGGATTGAGCCTGCAACTGAGGTACATGTTCTTGGCCAGAATTGAACCTGGGACACTTCAGTCCGGGGGCCGACACTCTAACCACAGAGCCAAACTGGCTAGGGGCATAACAGCACATCTTAGTCCAAATGATTTTCTGACTCTGTCATAGAAGTGACGGCATCTGCATACTCTTGGGTGGAAAAACTTATGATGACAGTTCACAGTGGAGAGAGCTAGACTAGCTCACTAACAGCCAAGTCAGGACTTGTAGGCCCAGTCTGCTGAGGAAATGTTCAAAGGGCAGATGCTCGTTATTGCTCAGTCTCCACGTGCTGTCTTTTGCAAGGCAAAGAAAACAATTTAAGCAAGTAACCTTTAAGCTCAGGGGGCGCCATAATCTCTCTTTCACTATTTAACACTAAGTGCTATTTGAAAGAACTGTCAAGTCCCTGAAAGAGTTGCAGACCAGGGGGCCAGCCTTCCGTGGTGGTGACTGACTTCTTGGATAAGCATTGGTGCTGCTTCAAAGGTGCATTTTTCTATATTGATCAAGAAAAGTTAACTAGATGAGGCTGTGACTACTGAGCTTGCCTGCGTCCCACCTGGGTTATCTTATCCCTCATTTCTACCTATAAAGCACCTGGCCTCAAGGAGAAACATTACATTTGGACAGGACGCATACTGTAGCAGGGCAGTTCAGTTTGCTCTCTCACTTCATCCTTCCCTCAGATGGGAGAGGGTCTGAGTTAGCCTAAAACACCTCTCTCTCCCGGGTTCAAGAGTGTAACAGTTGAGAGTCCAGACCCTGCAACCAGAATGTCTCAGCCCCATGCCCGGACCTGTCACCTGAGTGACCTTAGGAAAGTTACCTTAAGAATTCTGTGCCTCAGTTTCCTTCCACTAAATGTAATGGTAGTATTAACATCTACTGCTGGGTTGCTATGTTTAAATGTGGTTAAGTATTCACAATAGTGCACAGTGAAGATGCAATACATGTTAGCTATCACAACTGCTATGTGACAGATACTGTGATTTTAGTTAAGGGCCTTCACTGGGCTTTGGTGATCCTGCCTACCCACTGTCACTCTCCTGGGGAACAGGATCAAAGCTTAATGTGTTCAGTGTTCTTTCAGGGGCTATCAGCTGGAAAATTTTAACAGACCCTAGACAATACAAACTTCTGTATCACTTGTTATGGACTAGTGGTTTCCAGAGAGGAACTTATTTTAAAACAAAATATTTCTTGAAAGGTATTAAATTTGTGCTAATCTACTGACATAAACAACAGGGAATAAACAGGCAGGTCAGTGTGTAAGAGGATATATCTTGGGTTGATCTTCATTTGTGGTGAATTCAATTATTCCTGAATCACAGACCTTAAAGATGCATCTCAAAAAAAAAAAAAAAAGATGCATCTCTGTGCAGGTACTCTTAAGAATCAAAAAAAATCTCTTGCCCAGCCGGGCATGGCTCAGTGGTTGAGCATCAACCTAGGATCCAGGCGATCAGGGTTTGATTCCTGGTCAGGGCACATGCCCGGGTTGTGGGGTAGGCAGCCGATCAATGACTCTCTCATCATTGATGTTTCTATCTCTCTCTCTCTCCCCCTCCTTTCCTCTCTCTGAAATCAATAAAGATATGTTAAAAAACAAAAAAAAAAGTCTCTTGTTAGATTTCAGAGTTTAGAGGAAATACTTTTGTGGATACAGAGGTGAAAAAGGGTGGCGATCCCTATGGCCCCCCAACTTAAGTGGTCCAAGTAGACCAAGTGTGAGCGAGCATCCTCCAGTTCATGAGATGGGCCAGACATATGTGGAAAAGGCCAGGGATCTCTGGCAACAGTGACTGCTTCCAGCCCTCACTGCGGAAGAGGGCTTATATGTCACCGTGCTGCCATTCACCTCTAAAAAACACCATAGTGCAGCCCAAGTGCCCATCTGCAGATGAGTGGATAAAAAAAGCTGTGGTACATTTATATAATGGAGTACCACTCAGCCATTAAAAAGGAAATCCTTTGTGGATGGACCTGCACATCATGCTAAGTGAAATAAGCCAGTCAGAGAAAGACAAGTACTATATGATTTCACTCATTTGTGCAATCCAGTGAACAAAATAAACAAACGAAACAGAAACGGACTCATAGATACAGAGGACAGCCTGATAGCTTGGGGGGCAGGGGCGTTTGCAGGACTGGGTGGAAAAGGTGAAGGGATTAAGAAAAAAACTTATTGACACAGACAGCAGTTCAGTGATTGCCAGATGGAAAAGGGGGTGAAGGGAGGTAGCAGAGGATATGGGGGGGGTGAGGTGTTAAATTATGATGGAAGGAGCCTTGGCCTGGTGAACACAAGGTATACAGATGATGTATTATAGTATTGTACACCTGAAACCTATCTAATTTTATTAACCAACGTCACCCCAGTAAATTCAAGAAATGAAAAAAAAATCATAGTGAACACCTGGGATAACACCCTAGGTCTAGGGGCATGTTCGTAACTAGGCCAAGGCCCTAGCCTTGCACTCAGACTACAAGGATTACTGCATCCTTGATGCATGATGAACTGTCAGACTTGCTGGGATCAAAGAGCCCATTAGGCTCAGAGGCCCTCCCAACCAACTACATGAATCATCTTCTTGGACCTGGTTTTGCAGTTCCTAAATTTGGAAGCATTACTATTTTTGGTATAATTTTAATATTTGCTTCAGATTGGCTACTTGCATTTTCTTTCCAGAAAGACTTAATGGAGTCATTGTGGGGTTTCTTAAAAATACTTGATTTTTGTAGGACCCATTTTCTATAATTTTGCCTCTGTCACCTTGTACATTTTCACCTCCTCTGACAACTCCTGTATTTATGCTTCAAATTTTTTTCTCGGAAACAACTTCTGACAATCTGTGTTCCTCCATCATCCTTGTCCAAACATAATCACACAGTACTCCAAAGCACTCCCTTAAATGGTGATTTTTAAAATAATTTTCTGCTTAATTTGTGACTTGATTTTATCCACTTTATGAAGTGTCCAAAAAATGGTAACAATGATTAATTCTAGAGCATATCACGAAAAGCCTGCTCTACTGCCGCAGGCGGGTGGTCAATCCCAGGGAGGCAGCCAGGTGGCTCCGGCGCTCGGTAGCTCAGCACCCTGCGCTCCCCTTGAGGCTTCGAGTCACCTTCAGGGGCTTTGGGGATTTTTATCCCAAGTGACCATTACGAAAGCAACCCGTTCATTCCTCCGCCACAGCAGCCTCTATCCGTCTGGGGTCCTCAGGTCCCTCTCTCCTCTCCGCAGGAAACGGCCCTCGCTTTCCTTCCTCACGCAGGTCTTCAGCCCAGCCGTCCCTTGGACTCCCTGTTCGGGGGCGCTCCGTCAGTATTTCAGGGCTCAGTAGCGCCCCGCACACGGACGCGTCGCCCGACTCCCCGTCTCCAGCGGCCGCCGCTCGCCTCCGCGCACCGCCCCCTCCGCAGGCCCCGCCCTCCGCCTGGCTGACCAATCCCCGGCTCCGCTTAGGGAGCGACATAATGGCGCCTCGAGGTCGAGTTCCCGGAAGCCAGCCGTGGAGGCCCCGCCCCGCGGCTGTCTTTGCGTCCTTCCGGTTCCCTGGTGGAAGTAGGACTGCGTCGCGTCCTCCTGGAAAAGGTAGGGTTCCTTGGGGAAACCGAGCAGGGCTCGCACCAGCAGTCAGGAGCGGGGTGGGGGCGCGGGTTCCTGGGGCTGCTACTCCCGGGTGTTGGGGAGCGGGGCCGAGCAGGGGGCTTGGACGCCTAGAGCAGCAGCGTTTGAAGCGCTGCGTGCGCACAACGGGCGCGAATTGTGGACTCGGGCCTGTCGCGCTCCCGACCTGGAAGCCCCGCCCAGGGCGCGCAGCCAGGGGTTTCCATGGTGATGGTAAACAAGCCTCAACTGCCTCATCTGCAACTGCCAAGTCCCCCGCGTTCCACCCTCCTCTAGGTGTTCAGAGGGACGACGGAGGCGCCGGATGTGAAGTAGAGCGGGAGCGTGGACGACTTGGAGCCTGAGGTGAGGAGTGGGACGAGCGGAAGGTCCGAGGCCGAGGGTCGCACACCTGGGACCGACTGGGAATAGGGCCCCCTGGGGGTAGGGTGGCGGAGTTGAGATTTGGGGTCCGGGGAGGCAGGATCTGAGCACACCGGGCACCGACCTGGGACGGGGCCTCCTGCTGGTGGGGTGCGAAGGGCCTAATTAGGCGGGGTCTGAGATTCAGGGCCGCACACGGAGATACCCACCCAGGACTGAGCCCACCGGGGTGGGGGTGGCGGGGCTTAGGTTTGGGGTTGGGAGAAGTGGGCCTGAGGTCAAGGGTCTTATATTCGGGGTGAGGTTTGGGGTCCGGAAGGGCAGGGCCTCGTGCGGACTCCAGCGGGAGCAGAGGCCGAGCGCCCCTGCCAGAAGTAAGGTAAGGGGACCGGGCGACCGTCAGAGAAGTTTATTTTAAAATGAAAGCTGTACCTCCACGTGGCTGGAAGCGCTAGGGAGTTGCCCAAGAAGGGCTGGGACTGACTCCGCCCCCTCCCACGTTCCCGCTCGTCGGGCCTGCACTTTCGGTCTCTGCGGCCTTTCTTCCTTTTCGTGCTGCGTGTGTGTCCGGAGCGCCTGCCTGCGTTCGTCTCCTGCCCTGAGAGGTATTGTCTGCATTTTGGCTGGCTCTTTGGTTCTCGTCTTTACCTGGTTGCCACTTTTTCTGAGCGAGCTTGATTAATCGGTAGTTTCTTTTTCCTTGTCTTTCACTTCTTTGTATCTTTGGATATATTTGCTGATTCTTGACTGCGCCTCAGAAAGTTCTGGACGCTCTCGGCGCTCGCGCTGTGCCCTTTGCCTCCCGTGCCCCGCGGGGCTCACTGAAGGTGGCCCCGGTGACGCCAGGCAGTAGAGGGGTCCCGACCTACCCTGGTTTCTTTATATAAACGTTGGGCGGTCACAAGCCCGAAGAGCCCCCCCATCCCCCCACCCCCGCTCCTTCCCTGGGCGCCTGCGAGAGTGCTGCCCCGCGTCCGGGCGGCCCCGGCCTGTCGCAGCCTGTGTCACGCAGGACGCCCTTCGCAGCAGTTTCCTTCCCTTGAAGGCCCGAGGACAAACGAACGTGCTTCCCTCTTTGCTCACTACTGTTCGCGGCGCGCCGGGCCTCTCGCCTGCCCCTGCGGGCCGAGTGCGTAGCGTGGGGGGACCCGCGAGCGGAGGGCGGCGCGGCGGCTTCTGGGCTCCCGGCTCTGGGCTGGTCGCGGG